AAGAAGAAGAAGAAGAAGAAGAAGAAGAAGAAGAAGAAAAGAGGCTGGAAATATGGTTCTGTGGATAAGGGCATTAGTTACACAAGCAAAGGGACCTGAGTTCATATCCTAGCACCCACATTAGAAAAATAAATAAATAAATAAATAAATAAATAAATAAATAAATAAATAAATAAATAAATAAATAAATAAATAAATAAATAAATAAATAAATAAATAAATAAATAAATAAATAAATAAATAAATAAATAAATAAATAAATAAATAAATAAATAAATAAATAAATAAATAAATAAATAAATAAATAAATAAATAAATAAATAAATAAATAAATAAATAAATAAATAAATAAATAAATAAATAAATAAATAAATAAATAAATAAATAAATAAATAAATAAATAAATAAATAAATCCTAGTGTGGCATCATACATTGTGACCTCAGCACTGGGGTGGGGGGGGGCAGAGTCAGGAGGCTCACTGGGGCTTGCTGGCCAGCAGCCTAGCTCCAGGCCCGGAGAGAGACCCTGTCTCAGGAGAATAAAGCAGGGAGTGATGAAGCAGGCCACCAGGAGTGGGTGGGAGTATGTTCGTGTTTACATGCGAGCATGTGTGCATGCATACATGAGTGCCTGTGTGCATGCATGCATGTGGAGACCACAGGTGTTAGGACCCACACCAGGCTGACCCCGCCCCCTGACGATGGGCAGGGCATGCACAGGGATGTGCTACGCCATCACCACGTCACTCTTGTCACACATCACAGACCTGTGTGAGGACTCTGTGCATGTGTGGAACCTCAGTGAGCATGCACGGCTTTCCCTTTAAAAGTTCCACCTACGCCCGGCTCCTCTCTCTTCTGCTCTTCTCTTCACTCATGCCCTTTTCTCTGTCTCTCTTCTCTCTTACTCTCTCCCCTACTCTGCTCTCTCTCTCTCTCTCTCTCTCTCTCTCTCTCTGTGTGTGTGTGTGTGTGTGTGTCCTCTCTCTTATCCTGCCCTATAATAAATTGGTGAATGTGCTCTCCATAGTCCATGTCCATCTCTTGAAATTCTAATTTAAGCAAAAGAATGACAACAGGCAAGGTCTCTCACTGAACGTGGAGCTTACCAGATCAGCTGGACTGATGCTCAGTAAGCTCCAAGGATTGGCCTGCCTTGGCCTTGCACACACTCCCAATGCTTAGGCTCCTGCTCTTTGCTGTCCCTGGCTCTGTACATGGGTTCTGGGGATCTGAACTCAGGTCCTTATGTATGCACAGTCAGAACTCTCCCAACTGAACCATCACCGAAGCCTTGCAGTGTGAGGTCACTACTCTTCTCTCAGCTCATCTCCATCTCATGATTTGGATCTGTCTAAAATCATCAACTGAGTTCTTCACACTTCTTGACTACTAGAACAGAAGGCTGAGGCAGAAGCTGCAGTGTTCACAACCATGCCAAACATTTCTCCGGTGGGAAACCTACCAAATCAGAACAGTTTTGGTGTATCTAAAACGCTGCTGACAGCTCCCCCATGTCTATGACACTCCAGGAGTCCCAGGTGCCCCAGACACAAAACTACGTAGCAAGGTTCTCAAAGCCTAGTAGCAAGTGAGTGGCACCTGCTTTGGGGCCAGGCTCTGTGCTGGTTGAAATGACAATGGCCCCCATAGGCTCATGCATTTGAATGTTTGGGGCGCACTATTTTGGGAGGATTAAGAGGTGTGGCCTTCTTGGAGACGGTGTGTCAGTGAGGGTGGGCCTTGAGGTTTCAAAAGCCCACACCAGGCCCAGTTTCTCTTTTCCTATCTCCCGCCTGAGAATCAGAATATAAGCTCTCAGCTACTGCTCCAGTGCCACGCCCACCTGCCACCACACTCCCTGACATGATAGTCATGAACTAACCCTCCAAAAAGCTAAGCAAGTCCCATTTAAATGCTCTGTGTTATAATATGCCTTGGTCCTGTCTCTTCACAGCAGTAGAATAGTAACTAAGACAGACCCATTGCATGTGTTGTTGAATCTTTAGCAATACCAGAAAGGTAGTATGTAGCTCAGTAGAGTGCTTTGCCTAGCACGCACAAAGCCCTGGAATCTGTCCCCAGTGCCACATGAACCAGGTAGGATGGTGCACACCTATAATCCTAGTACCAAAGAAGCAAGGCAGGAGGATGAAAAGTCCAAAGTCATTCTCAGCTGCACAGTGAGTTCAAGCCCAATATAGGCCTAATGAAATCCTGTCCCCAAAGCAAAGCAACAACAGCAAAAGGGCATAACTAGTCCCAATTTATAGAGAAGAAATTAAGGATAAGGAAGTTGATCATGGCCATACATTAAATCCTACTCTCTCTCCCCACTTCCCTGTGTTGTCCAAAAACACATAGTCTAGTGTGTCTATCTGCTAGCACAGATAACAAAACAACACAAACGGGTTCGGTTAAATAACAGAAACTTAATTCTCACAGTTCTGCAGAATGGAAGTCCAAGAACAAGAGTATCTGCTTGATTGGTCCTTAGCTAGCAGATTGTCACCTCTTTTGTGTCCTCACACAGCCTTTCCCCTGTCTATGAACGCTGCTAGGGTATTCCACTATAGCTACTGTATAACAACCTAACCCTCTGGACCCTGTTGACCTTCTATGACCTCTTTACATGTACATTGTATAGTGTGCACATGTTTGCATATGAGTGCAGAGGTTAGAGAGCAACCCCAGATATCATTCCTCAGTGCTGTTCACATTGACTTTTGAGACCTGTTGCCTGGCTGGCCAGTAAGCTCCAGGGATCACTGGTCTCACTCCCACCCCACCACCACACCCCCAAGCACTGTGTGAGCCCTCAGGTAGATTCTGAGCACCAAGCTCAGGTCCTCATGTTTCCATAGCAAGTGCTTCATACCGGAGCAGTCTCCCCAGCTCCTTTAGTCACCTCTTTAAGGGGCCTGTCTCCATAGATAACTACCCTGGAGTCAGAGCTCCAAAAAATGAATTTGAGGAGGGCTCTAATTCAGTCCTTAACATCCTAATTCAGGGTTTCTTAATTATGTGTCTGCAGTACTCTCCCCTAATCTCTAGTTTTAGTTTTTGCAGTTTCATTGACCCACAGTAAACTGTGGCCTGAAAACTTTACATGGAAAGTCACAGAAATGAACTACCCAAGTTGTAAACTGAACGCCTTTCTCAGGACCATCTTTCTTCATCCTGTGTGGGATGTGAATCACGCCACTGTACCCATGCTGAACAGCCTGTCCTCTATCTGTAGGTTCTACATCCAGGGACTCAGCCTACCACAGTTAAATACTATTTGGGAGACAAGTTATATTTGACTGAACACATACAGAATTATTTTCTTGCTATACTCCCTAAATAATACAAAGAATTCCACTCCCTGGTGACTAAGAATTCAAATATATAAGCCTATGAGGGCTATTCTTATTCAAATTGAAGGATTTAAGCTTTCACACTTTTACAGACAAATTTGGGTTTTAGTTCTCTGAGAGGGGCAAACAGGTGCCTCTCCCAACAAAGGGCCATTTATCAATAAGTTCCATTCAGGGATGAAGGACAGACCAGAAACAAGGCCTGAGTCAGCCCCACGGTATCTCAAGGGCAGTTCCTGCAACCCCCTTGAAATTTACCCAAGTATATCCAAAGATAAAACCTCAGTCAATTAAAAGTACCTAGTGTAACTGCTACTTGCTTTACCAATTATGTTTGAGATGACCTAGCTGTTCCTGAAATTCCCCTAGCTGTGCTTAAAAGG